ATGAGTTCTCTTTCAAACATTCGGTATCTCACTATGGGAATCGCCTCGGGTGTGACCGATCTTGGAAGCACCAATCACGACAGTGATGCAGGAGTCCCGCCTCCCTCATATATATCGCTGCTAGCGGTCCCTACATCATTCTCATTCTCTTCCCCATGAAGATCCTTATTGGAAGCTATCCTCAGCAGATCCTCGTAAGAGTGGCCGCTTAACTGTTCACGGGCGAGTCGCATTTTAGGTACGTCGCCGAACGCGGCTGCTTTTTGTTTTGGGGGGGGGAATATTCTCTGTCAAAGTGAATATTTTCTTTCTGCTATCTATATCTTTGTGGTGGGAACCAGCGCATCAAGGTGGGTTCTCGTTTTCTTTATCGAGCAGTTACAGCTCCTTTCTCTCAATTATTCCTTCACGTTAAGGGAATAATTGCTGTAAGACCCGATACCGAGAGGCACATTGTGGTGATCTCGTTAATCTCCCGGAGTTTTTTCATCTCTGTTATGGTGACTGCGAGTCATCCAGTGGCACAGTGAAGGGAAAAGATCCCTCTCGCCCGTGTGCTTGCGGGTCTATGATTTCGTCTAAAGACTCATAAAGATGGGTTATGCAAGCGAGAGGACGAAAGTTTACACGTGTTCCCATTTGAAAGAAATAAAAATGTTTACTGTGCATCCAGTTAGTGGGCCAAGGGCACAGATTTGTGTGAAAATAACAAAAATACACACAAATACTCCCAGATCTGCCTCTAGATCAGTGAGCGAGAGCTACAGCGCTCTCTGCTAACGCAGAGAGTTGGCGCGCATGCGCAGTACACCCAGTAAAAACATGATACAATGTTATTCGTCCCAGAGACTGGTTTACATCAGTAGATGTGAAGGATGCTTATTTTCACAAAAGTATTTTTCCGGCACACAGAAAATTCCTCAGGTTTGTCTATCAGGGCACAGCCTACGAATTTTTGACAGTTCCATTCGGTTTGGCTTTAGCCCCAAGAACTTTCACAAAATGTGTCGAGGCGTCTCTAACACCGCTGAGAATAGCGGGTCTCAGAGTGTCAGCTTATTTGGATGATCTCCTCCTCTCTACTCCGTCACGGCGGCAGGCGGAGATCGATACAAATCTGCTTGTCTCATTTAAAAGGCTTAGGCTTCAAAATAAACGAGACAAAGAGCTGCTTAGTGCCCACGCCAGAAATAATTTTCCTGGGTCTCAGGCTGAACTCAGACCTGTATCAAGAGTTTCTATCAGAGGAGCACATCAGGTCAATTCGTGGCCGTCTCTCCCTTTTCCAGCGAGGGAAAAAAGTTCCATTCAGACTGTTTACGTCTTCTAGGGCCGATGGCCACGGCAGTGTCTGTCATCCCATTTGGGCTGTTGCGAATGAGACCGTTTCAGTGCTGGGTAGCAGCACAGCGCTTATGTCCAAAGCGCCACCTCAACCACAAAGTGATAGTGTCATCACATTGCCTGCGAGCTCTCTGCTGCTAGAGAGATCGCGCTTTTCTCGAATCAGGGACTCCGCTGGGAGCAATTTCTCTGAGAAAAGTAGTAACTACAGATGAATCACACACAGGTTTGGGTGCAGTGTGCGAGAGCAGAATAGCGAAAGGAAAATGTCCTGTCTCACTACAGAACGCACATATAAACTTCCTGGAACTGTTAACAGTGTTTCTAGCATTGAAACATTTCATGCCGTTCCTACGGAATCACCACGTTTTGGTCAAATCAAACAACACAACGGCGGTGGCTTATATAAATCACCGGGGGGGACATGTTTTCCTCAACTTCACAGTCTAGCATGAAAACTTGTGGTGTGGGGAACCATTTTGACATGAAGCATTTTCATCCATTACGGGTGACTCATGTCCCGGGAATAATTAATGCGGGGCAGATCTCCTGTCCGGGGGAATCCTCTGTACGATGGAATGGACTCTCTACCCTCAGGTAGTGAACTAGTTGTGGGAGAGGTTCGGCCAAGCTGCCGTAGATCTCTTCGCCTCGCACGAAAATACTCATTGCCCTCTACTATTTTCTCTGGCGAGAGACGGTGCACCTATGGTTGTGGATGCTTTGACTCACTCGTGGCCAAGCGTACTGCTTTACGCGTTTCCTCCACTGAGTCTGATCGTACCAACTCTAAAAAGAGAAAGAGAGTGGTCACTCAGTAATACTGATCGCTCCAAACTGGCCAGGGAAGTTGTGGCTGACAGAGATATTCCAGCTCCTGCACGATTGACCTTGGCCTCTCCCGTTGTGCAGAGACCTCCTCTCACAAGTGCGGGGAGAAATTTTTCGCCCGGCACCGGACAAAGTGGCTCTTTGGGCCTGGCCCGTGAGAGGTTGAATTTAGGTGTTACGGGTTTGCTTCCGAGGGTGATTGAAACGATTCAAAATGCGAGAGCGGCTTCGACGCGCTCTGCATATGATGGCAAATGGAATGTGTTTGAGCTTTGGTGCGAGCAAAGGCAAATTGTTCCTTTTCACTGTTCAGTGGCAAAGGTGTTATGTTTTCTGCAATAACTTTTAGATAAGGGCAGAGCCTTCTCTAATGTTAAAGTTTATCTTGAAATACAATAGGTCAGCACTCTCTTGTGTGCAGGTTTATGAGGGGTGCGCGGCGTCTGAACAGGGTTTCAAAGCCGCTGATTCCGCTATGGGAGCTGTCGGTGGTCCTTAATGCACTCTCTCAGCTTCCTTTTGAGCCAATAGACCATATTGATTTAAGGCTCCTTTCGCTAAAGGTTGCTTTGTTATTGGCTCTTTAGACCGCAAAACTAGTTCGTGAACTTCATGCTTTGTCGGTGCATAACTCCTGTATGCTGTTTGCTATGGATTTCTCGTGAGTAACTCTCAAGACGAATCCAGCATTTGTGCCTAAGGTGAGTGAGTCAGCTTTCGCCTGTAGACTTCGAATTATATTCGGAGCTCCGTAGTTATTAAATAATCTCAGTTAAACTGTAGACCTAAGCTAACACACAGCTGTATATAGGCCTAAATACAGAACTACAGAGTACAGAAGATATTAGCCTACACCACTTAGGCCTATTAAAATATTATTTAAAAACAATTAATTGACCCGAAACAATAGGTAGTCCTTCAGAATGTAGGCTAGATATAGGCAGCAGTAATTTATAATCTAATATAATGCACACAAATTTGTTCTTTACAGAACGGAGCGGGATCTGAGCGGGAATTGGTTTACGGTGAGCGTGAGCGGAATATTAACGGAGCGCTTGCTTGGGCGGTTAGAGCGACGTGAGTGGAGCGCAGGTCCATAGAGCGGAAAACGTAGCGTAGCGTCACACCGCTCCGCTTTGCTCACATGCTCTGCTCTGCGCAAAACTCTACATTTGAACAGTCAATAGCAAATACTTAAACTAGTAACAAAACATACTTACAGTCGCTGATTCAGAAGCGCCAGATTGTCATAGCAAAGTCAGAATTTACCCCTTTTTTTTTATTTTTATTATTATTTTTTTTTAGAAATAGCCTTTGTGCACAGCCAGCCTTGTACTCTTCCTGGTTAAAAAAAACTTTTGTCCATAAAATGCGTTGCACAAATTCGAACATCTGGGTTGTGCTGTTCTGTTGTAAATAAATCTTAACCAATGATTCCTAATTGCATCTACTTCCGGAAGGCCAAATAAAGTGCTTTTGCTTTCGGACTGAAACACACAGCGTCTCCCTGACATGGCTGCATCAACACTACTGCGGTTCCTGAAACCACGTCTTCTTTCTTTGCATGCACATTTGGGTGGCATTATGCTAATATTTCCACATAGTGACGTAGATATGTGGGGGCATGTTAGAACGAGCCGTTTTAGGTAGGCATGGCTGACTCTTAACTTTTATAAAGAATATCTCTTTGGATTTGAGACTTTAGTCTTTGCAACTTTACAGATCTTCTTTATGCATCAAGAGCTTGTAACACTCCAAAGAGAAAGGAAAACTTGAAATCGCATCATATGACCCCTTTAAGGAATAAGGTTTTTTTTCACACAAACTTTTTTTTTAATATACCTTACTCATTATGACAGATAATGATAGTACTTACAATTAGCATCAATATTCTAATAAAGCCTTTAGAATATTTCTGCAAATACGGCAATCAGCATATTATGAATAAACCTTTTAATAAACAAAGATATCCTGCTATTCTCTTCTGTCTGCCGTTTGAATATTATTACGCTCCATTTTAGTCCTTTAATTAACATTCATTCTTATTCATATCCCTAACGATAGAAGATGAGGCTGAAGGATGAATTGGAAAATGTAGGCCAGTAACCTTTTTAAAATAAGGAGAGTTATATTGATACATGTTCATTCATTCATTTTAATGTCTGTATTAAAAAATATTGAAACTAATTTAAACTGAAATGCCATGGGTCAAAACGCTAATTTACTTCTAATGTGTTGCTGACTAGCTGTATTTATGTATAGTGCACAATATTCAGTATGTGTTATTTTGTTATACTTTTGTTCATGTGAGTTGTGTTAGATAATATGCACTGCCTTATGTCTTAGTGGTCTTCAACCTTTCTGACTCCATCACCCAAGGCCCCTCATTGTCAACGACAATATTTGAAGACCCACCAAGGTATTTCCAGTGTATCTATACTGACAAAGCTGTTTATTTATTTATTATTATTATTATTTTCATAATTAAAAAAATAATAATTATTTAAATAAATACAGTCCATAATTGAATGTTGTTCATGGTTTCCACTTTAACCTTTTCAGATCTAGAAATCACAAATGTAAAATTCCTGAGAACCCTGGTTCTTAAAAAACTGTTAAGGGAACTAATTAAAATAAGACATGATTTCATCTTATAGAGATATGCTTTCAGCTTATTTTAAACCTTGTTTTGTCTTATTTTACACCATCTTGCTGCCCCATTGGTAGTGTGATAAGGCCCCCAGCCCCTGGATGACTAGGGGAGATGGTTTGTGCCCTTTTTGTAGAATAGACTTAAGTAGTATTATAGTATCTATAAGTAAGTATTACATCAAGAATGTGACTATGATATTTGCAAAAAACATTCTGTATGGAGTGAGATGGTTACCCAGCTGTAGTTTGTGCTGTGTGAGCAAGCGTTGTCTTTCCGACTGAAGTTCTTCATTGGCTTGTGCTTCCAGGGCCTGAAGAGCACGCTGGTGATTTAACCTTTCCACACGCAACAACTCCTCCTCTCGCTCACGCCACCCCCGCTTTTCCCTCTCCTCTTCCCTCTCTCCCGTAGCCTTCCCATCCTCCTCGTCCTCATCTTCCTCTTTTACCACCTACAGGAAAACATAAAATAACTAATATTAAGAGTTCTTTCCACAGTTGTGTGTGTGTGTGTGTGTGCGCTGTCATCATTTCAATGGTTTCTGTCCACACAGTCATTGGGATCCAAAACATCACTGGACCCCAATTTCTTGAATTATATGGATGAAGCATTTTTCAAAATATCTTCTTTTTTGTTCCAAATGAATGAAGAAATACTCAGAGGTTTGGAATAGCATGAGAGTATATGACGACAGAATGGTTTTTGTGTTTTTTTTTTTAAATATCCCTTTAGCAGCTCTCTGTTTAATTGTTATTTATTATGAATGATTATTCAATAGTAATGATAAATATATGAATCATAAGAAATCTTTTGATTTCCCAACAGCCCTAGTATATACGCACTTGTAACTGCTGCCTCATCAGTCTCTCTTTCTCTTGAATGGTGGAATGAAGCTGAGATCTGAGCGTGCTGTTCATATCTCTTGTCTTTTGGATCTCCTGCTTCCATGCTGACTGCCGCTCCACCTTTGCATACTCCTGCTCTCTCTCTTTTGCCCTTTCCTTCTCCTCTTCTTTTTCTCTCTCCAGCGTCTGAATCACCCCCTCCAATTTCGCCATCTGCAAGCCAATAAAACTTAGATCAGCAAAGACCTTAACAGCATGTGGAATCCACTCAAGTTTGATATAATTTATGTGGGTCATACAAAGAAAGTGATCTTCTGTTTTTAGAATAGAGTCTTTATTTAAAGCAACCTGAGGTTAAGGTTCTTTCTCAAAGGGATACAATGGGGATTGTTATAGGGTGTGTCTGAATCCATTCTCTAGATCAGTAGTAAGAGTAAATTGTTTTCTTACTACACTCAGTTACCCGTAATATTGTCAAAAGTAATGTTATTTAACCGGCAATGTTGTCACCATTTATAAAATCTTTTTTTTTTCTTTTCTGTTATTCACTGAGGTGTAATTTGTAATCATCTTTACTATCATTCAAAAGTTTTTCAGTTCTGTTTTTTTAAAGAAATTCATACTTTTATTTCATTGATCAATGTTACAAAATATTTCTATTTCAAATAAATGCTATCGCTTTGAATGTTCTATTCATCAAAACATTTCCCCCAAAATATTAAGCAGCCCAATAATTTTTAACACTGAGAATAAAAGGAAATGTATTAAAACAGAAAACAGTTATTTCAAATTCATAATATTATTGTCTTTTGCGATTTGCATTTGCGATCAAATAAATGCATCTTGGTGACCATAAAAGACCAAACCCAAACTTTTGAATCATTATTGTGTATTACAAACTTTCATATTATACAGGAATTGAAGTTGTTGTTGAAGACTAAAAAGACCCATTTTCCTTTTCATTAATGTTCTGCAATTTTATTTTTTATTATATTTGTGCATAATGTCTGAATGCCATTATGTTTAAAGCAGGACAAGCACATAATTCATAATGGCACTGTTTTTTTGTAACAGCTACAATGAAGAAGCCTGATGGCATGTTCAATGATCCTGTTGATAAATAGCAAAAACATCTTAATGAGCTTATAAGGTGTCAGAGGAAATTGAGTCATCTGTGTCCCAATTCATGAACAACCATTTTTGTCCCCGTAAGGTTGTGGACAGCAGGTCCTACGAAAGAGAGCTGCCAGTTAGACAGCAATGATGAAGTGATTGAAATAGGAAATAGTCCTTTTTTAAGACATAAGCTATGATAGTTCTGTTTGAATATCTCGGCAATGTGAAGTGTAAGTTAATTTATGATTTCTATTCTAAATATAGTTTTGAACAAAACAATCACTCATGAGGATATTTAATAATATAAAATATTATGTGATAATATTTTATTATCACATAAATGTCAGCAGTTCAGCAGTACTGTCACACTCGGTGTTCTTTGTTCTCAAAGTTCTGCTAAAGTGACAGCATGGTGCACAGCGTGAATTAGATTACCTGCCTTTCAGTCCCGTTAATTTGCTCACACAGTTACCGTTTCTGAAACGGCTTTCAGGATTCATAAATCATTTTGCAGGTTCTATTTAATTCACCTGCACTGATACCACCCATTATTTTGCAGTTTTTTGGAAGCACACATCAAATGGCATATTTATTAAGTTAAATTGGAAAAATGCATGACATCCTGTAAACATGTTAGCAGATGAGCTTTAGTACATCATTTTTGTACTTTTTGGGTGTAGCTGCACGCAAACCTAAGGGCAGTGTTTGAAACAAATGAGCCAGACAACCTAGCATTAGATTTTTCAAGAAATGTCCCTAGTGGGATTTTAACCTACAACCTTTTGTGCACCAGCCTAGATCATTAAACACGGAAAAATGCATGACATCCTGTAAACATGTTAGCAGATGAGCTTTAGTACATCATTTTAGTACTTTTTGGGTGTAGCTGCACGCAAACCTAAGGGCAGTGTTTGAAACAAATGAGCCAGACAACCTAGCATTAGATTTTTCAAGAAATGTCCCTAGTGGGATTTTAACCTACAACCTTTTGTGCACCAGCCTAGATCATTAAACACTAGGATACCACCACAATCCATATATTTAACTTGACTTAGAACAAATGGGTTTCTGATAAATAGCAGAAACTGATGCTTGCGTCACTGCAACACAGCACTAAAACAACAATCCTCTTCCTAGCTATCACTTATTAAGCACTATTTCGTTATCATAACCCAGTTCCAAGCCTGCTGGCATATTAGATGAAGCATTAGACGAAGCCCTGTGCCTTGGGCACTACAAATGTTCTTTGTGTTTTCTCATTTATCATGCTCATGTGGAGAGCTCTGGGCCTCTCAGTCTGCGTATTTAAGCAGAAGGACTGAGCATGTTCCCTTTGCCTGAGCTTCAAACCAATTTGAAAAAGCTTGATATGTATATAGTTCAAGTTATTTGTGATGACCTGATTCATTAGTAGGTCAACAATGTTATGCAAAGATTCTTTTGGCTTTTAAGAGGAAAAGCAAAGGACAAATGTAGTGGCATTCTTTGCAGTAACTTACCTCTCTGTTGGACAGCTGTAGTTGGTTGAGTAGCTTTTCCCTCTCTGTCTCTAAAGCCTTTCTCTCTTCTTCTCCGGTTTTCATCTGCTCCTCAGTCTGTAGTCAAACCAACATTATAATACTAGTATCTCTTAATTTCAATAATATTTCAACAGATCTTTTTAATAGTGCTTTGCTTGTTACTTTTTAAATTGTTTTAAAGAAGGCATATAGTCTCCATCTTTGCAGCTGTTTTTTTTCCTTGCCTTATATTGCATTTAAAGTATACTCTTTTCTCAGTTCATACATTCCATGGCAACTAATATCATGAAATCGGTGTCACAACATTCAGGCACTACTGTTTGAGCTACAGGAAAACTTACAGGAACACTTTCTTGTAGCAAAATATTAATTAAATATTACATAAACATTTTCCACCCTTTCTAACTTTTAAAATTAGCTCTACAAAAAAGAAAATTTATTTCATTTAATTCTAAACCGTCTTTTTTCCTTTTGTGGGACACAACCCAAGATTCTGAGCAGAATGTTGCTCAATTCCATTTAACAAAAAAAAATTTCTACTTGTATTTCAATCTTTTACATTAAAAGCACATGAGTTGTATTGACCACTTTTATAATGTGTTTATGCTATTTTGTTCTTTTTGGAGTTTGAAAGCCCCTGTTACATGGAAGAAAGAAAGTCATGTAGGAATGAAACAAAGGGTGAATAAATGATGTTTTATTTTTTGGTCAACTAAACATTTAAATAGGCCGTTTTTAGCTTCTGTACCTTTAAGACTTTTTATGCGACTGACTTGTTATGATATGATGGTTAATCTCTGCATCTTCATAAGGGTGGGCCAAGTTTCTGAATGCCGAATATGCGTCATATGTTAATGTGATTCTGATTTCAGAATTACCCATTTTTGCAGCTTAGTTTCCATAATTGGTCTGAATGGACTTGGGCTTGGAGATTTGCATTGTGAATAATAATGTGTCTATAAACACAGCACAAAGAAAATTATTTTTATTTCCCCCGTAACAATAAAGCCACACTAATATAGATGGGTAAACGTACAGATTATACTCATATATTCTCTTAAAATATTCTTAAAATCCCATGCGCAGTCTCTGCCTTTTGTTATTGGAAAAAAGAACATAAAAACTTTCGACATTTAAATATTTCCAAATGAAATCAAATCAGAAAGTCAGTGCCGATTGCCCACCTTTCACACCAGTAGTAACAGGAGCAAATGAGAAGGTATGAAATTATTAGCAAAGCTAGTGTGTCTGTAAGTTCACATGAAAACCGCAGTTGAAATCTGTCGTACCTGCTGCGTCGTCTTTTTCTCTGCATCCAGCATTGCATGCGCTTGCCGCAGCTCACTGGCATGTTTGCGTATCACTTCTTCAAGTGCTTTCCGAAGCTGCTCTTTCAGTCTTACTTTCTCTTCTTCCATCTTCTGCTGAGCCCGTTTCTTCTCTTCTTCCAGCTCCTGTCTGTCATTCTTTCTTTCGTTCTCCACCTCCTGCTGAAGGCGTCTGATCTCCTCAGTGTGAGCTCGCTGCAGCTCCAGACGCATAGAGGATAGAGTATCTGCATGCTAAAACACACACACATGACTCTTAATGATATAAAACTGTAATCCTGTAGTTTCAAAAGAATGACACTACGCCTTTTAAGCCTCTGGTGTGTCAGTTGTGATGTTTTAAGATGTTCAAAAGGCTTGGCTGATCTTTCTCGGCATACAAACGCTTTTCAAAGAACATTTTATGGTGTGCTTTACTCATTTGTATTTGTGTGTCTTGAGATGGCAGGCCTCATTTGGGATGTGATTTCACAGCATTTATTTATGTGTTCTTGTATGCTAGAGGTGCTGTAGAGAACAGTACAGCTGTTTAAAAACAGTAGCGCGATTTTTCTGTCTGAGATTAATTTTAGGTACTGTAAAAGATTTATTTCATTGGGTTATCAGTAAATATTAGAATTTTTTATCAGTATTGGTTGATGTTGGATATTTAATTTTGCATGTTCATTTATCAAATTTTTACTTTTAGATTAAGTTTGCTGTCATCTAATGCTCTTTTAAAACACTAATAATTGAATAAGACTGTTAAATGTAATCTTCAGCAAATCAGTCATTTTGATAGTGTAGTATTTTATTTGTGAAGCCTAAATTCACTTGTAGCATTTAATTAACAATTCATTTGTAGTTTTTTTATTTTAATTAATTTAAACAAAAAAGTATTGTGCTGTAAATGTGCCCTTTATCAGTTATTTGCGATTTTTCTGTCTGAGATCAATTTTAGGTACTGTAAAAGATTTATTTCATTGGGTTATCAGTAAATATTAGAATTTTTTATCAGTATATTTTATCAAATTTTTACTTTTAGATTAAGTTTGCTGTCATCTAATGCTCTTTTAAAACACTAATAATTGAATAAGACTGTTAAATGTAATCTTCAGCAAATCAGTCATTTTGATAGTGTAGTATTTTATTTGTGAAGCCTAAATTCACTTGTAGCATTTAATTAACAATTCATTTGTAGTTTTTTTATTTTAATTAATTTAAACAAAAAAGTATTGTGCTGTAAATGTGCCCTTTATCAGTTATTACAGTATTCATTAATCTTTTGAATGAGCTTTTATTTTTACATTTTTTAGTTTTCATTTTAATTTTAGTTTAAGTTTGATTAATTTTGTGATGTGCCTTTGTCATTTTTATTTGTTTTTAAGACTTCTATTTAACTTTATTTTTATTTCTGTTTTAGTCATTTTTATTGCAGCTAGTTGACAAGGTAATATTGTCAACTAGCTGCAATTAGGTAATAGTCAACTATTTTTTGTTTCAGTTCAAATTTTTTATCTAACATTTATATTTCATGTTATTTCTATGGAAGCCCGTTTCCGCCACTAAATAAAAAAATATAATTCTGTAAGTCATAATAATGAGAAACTTTCTCAAAATTATGACTTAGTATCTCGTTATAATGAGAAACTTTCTCGTAATAATGACTTAGTTTCTCGAAATAATGACTTATTTTCTCATAATAATGACTTAGTTTCTCGTAATAATGAGAAACTTTCTCGAAATAATGACTTAGT